AGCTTCTTGTTGCAAAAGTTGCAAATGTAAATTTCTTTCTCCCGTTTATGTTTCTGAAAATACGTAAGGGCGCCATATATAGTACACAATTCCTTTATAAACAATTTATATAATACAGTTACTCTTAATAGATCTTCATATTTCATTTCAATAATATTTACCTCAGTATCCGTCGCTAAGTCAACTGACGCTGCCGTTTTGTTACATTCCGTTAGAGTAACAGCTTCCTTTTCGTAATTAATTTCATTAATGTCTTTTTGATCTGTTTTCCAATCTTTCTGAATAATTTTCTCATCTGTCATCTCCAGTGTATCATCTTGATAATTCGGAGCGTTTTTCTCGTCCATTATTTCTCGTTTAGTAATTTGACACCCCTGTGTAATTTTATTTGTATCTTCATCTGTAGTTTTATTTATAACAAAGTCAGAGCTGTTATCAATTTGTTCTTTTGAGGCTTGCATCAGATCTTCATATTTCATTTCAATAATATCTGTCTCAGTCGCTAAGTCAACTGACGCTACCGTTTCGACATGTTCTGTTAAAGTAACAGCTTCCTTTTCGTAATTAATTTCGTTAATATCTTTTCGATCTGTTTTCCAATCATTCTGAATATTTTTTTCATCTGCCACGTTCTGTGTATTGTTTTGATAATTCCGAGCGTCCTTCCGTAGTTTTATTTGTAACAAAAGCAGAGATTTTATTAATTCTTTTGTGGTTTGCAGATATTCATATTTCATTTTAGTAATATTTATCTCAGAATCATCCGTCGCTAAGTCAACTGACGCTGCCATTTTGTTATGTTCCGTTAAAGTAACAGCTTCCTCTTCATAATTAATTTCGTCAATATCCTCTCGCTCTGTTTTCCAATCATTCTGAATATTCTTCTTATTTGTCATCTCTTGTTTATCATTTTGATAATTCTGAGCGTTCTCCTCGTCTATAATCTCTTGTTTAATAATTTGACACTCTGTAATTTTATTTGTAATATAGTCATAGCTGTTATCAACTTGTTCTGT